AAAAAAAAAAAGAAAAACAATATGCCACAGATGGATAACTGCTTTGGACTGAAGATCTTTGCAAAGCCCAGATTATGTGGTTATATAGTTGTGCCTGTTCTTACTGTCCTATAGAATTCAAGTTTGATGCATCTATTTTAACAGGATCTCTCAGTTTTTAGGTGCCAGACAGCAACATGGAGCTGGGAAGGAAGACAAGCTGCCTCCTGCTTCATCAACTCCTCAGCTAAAAAAGATGGTTAGAGGTCAGACTATGAACCATCAGACTGATCCCTTCTGTCTCTTGGCTTGACACCTGCAGCAGAGCTGCCAAAAAAGTGGAATTTGGTCCTCATATGAGCATGGAGGTAGAATTAAGCCCATGTGTTCACAGGAGGATGGGTGAGTTGGTAATGGGAGGCAGCCCAATGGTGGCACCACAGACAGAGGACCAGTGGCCATGCATACCTTATGTACGTGCAATTAAAAAAAAAGAAATTATTATTATGAAAACAAAACAAAACACATTAAAACTCTACATGATCTTGAGGGTTGGGCTAGATGATCTTTAAAGGTTCCTTCCACCTAAAATGATTTTATGATTCTATGTTATGATTCTATGATCTTGGTACTTGCAAAGTCCTGGGGAAATATGAATCTTCTTGAGTTGAACTCATGTCTTCCTGTCCAGAGCAATCTAACAATGACATTTTCATGAGCTGTCATCACTTTTAGCTGAGCTACCTGAACATACACCCAAGAGATGGGGAATTTACAGCTTTTTGACTGGCTGGGGGCTGTTGGAGAGAGGATACCACTGTTTAATTTTTTAAAAACCTGGATATGAATTATCATGTTTTTCCACTTTATTTCTCCTCACTATACATTATTAAATGCTCAGTTATGGACTATTCCCTAGGTTTGACACACATATAATTTACACTTTTAAAATTAAAGTAAAGTTCGGGGCAATTTTGGATAAAAAAAGCAGTTGTTTGAAATTGTAACGCGTAATATAAACATATTTCTCAGTGCAGGATTTCCTTTTTATAACCAAATGTTGTCACTAGCACTGTTTTAAATCTAGGCTGAATTTTCATAACTCTATATATGTTTTTCTGTAATTGTGACTAGCTTAAAATTCAGCATGATGACTGTGAAGAACAAATTGGCAATGTTTCATCTTCTTTTCATTCGTTGTTTAAATTTCATACCCCGGAATAATGGAACAGCTTCTGCTCACAAGACTTTTATCGTTATACATTCCCCCACAAACCGAGTCCTCAGCCTGGGAATTATTTTGGGAAGATTACTTTTAATGAGAGCCATGCATTTATAAGATACAATCACAATGTATTAACTCTTCTTTAGCCCTTCGCTTGAGGCTGGAATTCTTTCATGCCTGGAAAATGAAAAAGATGTGCAGCTTTCTGAAGGGAAAAAGGTGTTTGCTTCAGAGGGGATCTTCCTCTGTGGTTTTTTGTTTTGTTTCATTTTTAATCACTTTTAAAAAGATAATGCCTCAACAGCGGGTGAGATATTGGAAAGATGAGTGAGGAACTCCGGATCAGCAGGGAAGACGTTGTAGAGCTTTTCAACAAGATGTTTCGTAAGGATGAAAGTTGCATTTGAAACTCTTATCCCAACTTGATGCTAGGAGAAAATGCACGTGGAGTCCACTAGAGGGTACAGCTGGGGTCTGTGCAGCTGCGCTCAGCGCTGGGTGGCTGTGCAGAGTGGCAGGTGGAGCACAGCGCTGGATGCTGCTGTTGTGCAGGTCAGAGACCACCTGCAGCTAAAGGAGAAGGGAGAGAGCAGCCTGGAAACTTGTCTGAGTGCAAAGCAGGTAATTATGAAGGAGTTTATTGCTCTTTGATTCCTGTCGATTAGGTACGCCTGGAAGAACGTTGCTTGCACGTGAATTGTAACATCTGCTCTCTCTGATTGTTCCCATTTCTTCTCCTTATTAATTCCTTTGTCTGGTTATAAAGTTCTCCAGTCTTTGTAAAACATTAGCTATGAAGACCTGGCTTTGTTTTAGTTTTGAGCACTGAGAAAGGAAAAAAAATTAAAAAAAGAAAAATGCATAAAATCATCTGGAGCCTTTGGAATTATTGCTGGCTTGCATTGCACTCAACAAGTCAGCAATTATAGCCTGAAATATTGAGTGGCAAGAAAATTTATATCTTACCTCAGCAATTTTAAAAATTATTTTGAAAGCACAGAGATATATGAAATAGACCTTTCTATGGCAGGCTGAGGGCTAATACAACCTAATGTGATTACAAGGCAGGGGGTGCTCAGGGTCACTGTGGATCCCAAATGAGTGATGGCAATAAACTACTTAATTGTCCCATTCATTTTGTTTTTAGCACCTTTGCCAAGACCAAATGCAGGAGAAGAGCAGAAGGCTTTTATGGGATCAGAGACCAGAGCTGTTAGAGGCCCTTAGGAATAACATTTGGGGCATGAAAACCTATTGTAGTTCAATCTTAGTCACACATCCAGCTTACTGCAATGAGAGTGCTAGGTAAACACAGAGATAACAGACGGGACTCCATGGAAGGCAAGACACACATGGATGTGTCCATCTCCTTTGGGCATCCCATTTCCCACAGCTCTCAGGGGAGACCCTCATAGGTTTGGCCTAAACCTTCTCAGCAAAGAACTGAGAGGCCTCAAATCTCCCTTTTGTCAGTGGGATGCGAGGTGCCCTACAGAGGGCACGATATTGTGCCCTGGTGCTGCAATTCAGGCTTACTTGACATTGCTGATGAAGTTGATGATATTCCTGCACCCAAGTAACCATTGCTGAAGTGAGGCAGATGGAAACACAGGGCAGTAATTAGCCAAAACCAACTGTAATGGAATACTGTTATTGTAACGAGAGGTTTTGTCTCTCCCCTCGCTTCACTCAGTGGCAAAACTCCCCCTACTTTCTGAGGCTCTGGATTTTAGCTTCTACATGGGGATGGGAGCATAGTGAGACGATATCCATCACCTTATCCTCAGAGCTGACAGCTACTGAGAAAAATCTGCTTTCTTGTAATCTGGCTCCCTTATCCCGGGATTAAGTTAAGGCTTGCAAGGTTCCTGTTCATGTCCAAACCCTGAACTTTGTGTGTGCAGTTTCACAGAAAGTTATGACTTGGCTTTCACATGAATCATTCAGTCTGCTGTTCTTATGCAGTCTGCTGCCAGCTAGCTTGTCATATTTTAGGGTTTTATAGACCGATCAAAAAAAGGGTGCCTTTCTAAAACAGTGCACTTTAAACTGAAAGAAAGGGTTCAGTTTGCAGCTGTCCTCTGTTTGGAAGGCCGACTGTTTTACTTTCTGCTGCACCAAGTCATACCAATCCTCTTGTTTCTCTGCATCTCCCCCTCTCTGAATGCCAGGCCCCAGATGGGACCCTGAGATTCATTTAAAAAAATGTGCAGGATTGATAATAGGAGAATATTTACCACGTTTTTTCAGCTTTTTTCTTTGAAAGAAGTGCTAAGATTTCTGTGGGCTTCAGTATGAATCAAGCAGAAGCTCTCATCTAAAAGTCACGGTGGATTTGGGATAAATAAATCAGACAGGGAGGCAAATAAGCTGTGGTTTAATCTTGTGCTTTACCGCTGAGATTGCACTTTGAGATTGCACTTTGGGAGGAAAAAATTCTTCCTGCCCAGTGCCTCAGTTTCCCTATCTAGAAATCCTTGCCATGTCCTCCTGCCTGGCCTGATCTGGGTGATGCTCAGAAGGGGCATTTACAGTGAGCTCTGCAGGACCACATGGCCCCAGTCCTGTGCCCCCAAAACAGTGAGAGCTGCAGGATTGGATCCTATGTTATTGCTGCTTTTTCCTTCTTTTTCTTTTCCTTTTTATTTTCTAAAGTATACATAAAGTTTGCCTTATCAACAGGCTGTATGTATGATCAAATAGTGATTTTTCACAGGAGGGAGGCTTGGAAGGCACCATATATTAAGCCCTATGTCACTCCACCCAAATAATCTTTCATTTGTTTTGTGGGCAAACAGCGAAGCCAAAGCCTTTTAAGGGTTTTAATCCACAGAGTCCATCCAAACAAAAACAAGAAACAGGTTTCTCCTGGTGAGTCGGCTTGGACTGGATTAAACCCTCCTGTCCGAAAGGGATAGATAAATATTTTCCTATAGGAGCCGACACCCCCAGGTCTCTACATGCTAAAGAGGCAAGTGTGGGTTTAATGCCGGTGTAGATAAGCCCTTATCTGAAGGATGCGACACTTAACTCTACAGCCCTCACACTTATTTACCCATTGCTAATGGCTACTGGCTTTATAGCTCTTGTGCCTCAGTGGTGGTGAGAACAGCCCCGGTTCTCTTTGCAGGGAGAGCGCCGTGCCCTGCGAACCTAAAGCAGAGCCGATAGGAGAACAAGACGAAATAAGGGGAAAACACGTGGCCCCTTTCATCCTAATGGTGCTGTAGGAGGGATGTGTCCCAGCACCCGGTGTGCACCGTTCCTGCCCTAAATACGTCCTTCCCCATCACGTAGGACGTTCATCTCGCTAGGTTTGGCTGGAAACAAAACGTGTGACATGCAAAGCCGCTCTGCTAGCGGGCAGAAAACGCACACAGCTGCTGTCATGTTTCTTATTATATTTCCCCTTTGTTCCTCAAAGTGACTGAGTTATTGCACAGTGCGGGAATTGAGGACGAAGGAAAAGATCACCAAGGTGGAACCGAAGGCAGCCTGTCAGTTATATGTGTAAATGAATGCTCGATTGCCTTATGAAATAATTGCGCTATAAAATTAATCATTTAAGTAAATAATAATAATAATAATCGTCGTCATTATCAGCATTCTATTTGGACAAACAAGTAGTTCTTCTCGTCCACTATTAACCCAACCTTGAAAAATCTCCAGAAACACATCAGAATGTTGTTGTTGTTTTTTTTGGGGGGGTTCATTTGTGGCTCCTTTTCTTTTCTTTCCCCTTTCCTTTCCCCTTTCCTCTTTCCCCTTTCCTCTTTCCTTTCCCCTTTCCTCTTTCCCCTTTCCTCTTTCCTTTCCTTTCCTTTCCTTTCCTTTCCTTTCCTTTCCTTTCCTTTCCTTTCCTTTCCTTTCCTTTCCTTTCCTTTCCTTTCCTTTCCTTTCCTTTCCTTTCCTTTCCTTTCCTTTCCTTTCCTCTTCTCTCATCCTTTCTCAAATCTCGAATTTACCCCCCCTCCCTCCCCCTTTTTTTTGAGCATGTTTTTTATTAGCTTTCATAAAACTTGATTTTCAAGGTTTTGGGTGCCTCGGGGATACAATGAGCTCGAATGTCAAATGCATCCAATTGCTAATGAAGGGATTTCAAAGGTCTCCAAAGTGTCTATAGGAGCAATTTGTAGTGTCTCATAAAGGTAAAGCCCGTTCTGACTACGGTGTATTTTGTCTGACAGTTTTCCGGCTTCTCTAAGCCCGATGTTCTGTTTTATTCTCATTTTATTCCGATGCCGCAGTTTTTCTGTCATAGGAGTTGTAGTCAAGTCAAATCATCATCCGAGCTCATGCTGGTATTCCTCAGCGTGGGTACATGAGAAAAAAAAAGGTATTGTGCACTAAAGGAAGGCTTTACAAATCCTTACCCAAGGAAAAGGTTTGCCTTATATGTTTGCAAGTAAACGGGGAGGAAAACAGAGCTGCTCTTCTTGTCCATCTCCTTTTTTCTTACCTTTTCTTTATTTATCTATTTTTCTTTTTGCCGTTTTTTTCTTATCTTTTCTTTAGTTCTCTATTTTTTCTTTTTTTTTCCTACTTTCCTCTTTTTCTAACTTTTCCCTATTTTTCCTCTTTTCCTTTATCTCCCTTTTCTTCCTTTTTTTTTCTTTTTTCCCTTTTCCTTTTTTTCCTTTTTTTCCCCCTACTTTCCCTTTTTAGTTCCTCTTTTTTTTTTTTCCCCTCTTTTCCCCTTTTCTTCTTTTTTTTCTTCTTTTTCCCTTTTCACCTTTTTTTTTTTTTTTTTTTTTTTTTTTTTTCCCTTTTTCTCTTTCTTCTCTTCTTTTATTTTCCTTCTCCTTTTTTATTCTTTTCCTGGTTGTTCTTACTCCAACTTCGTTTTGGCTAACTCTGTTTCTGCGTCGGAGCTCGGAGGGTGACAGTGAGGGATGGATGGAGGGAAAACTGCGGTGGATCCCGGCTGCTCTCAGCCCTCACCCAACCCGGAGCGCTCGGTTCTTCCTCCGGTTTGCAATTCAGCCCGCTGTTATTTTGGCAAAAGGGAAAAACAAGCAGCTCCCCCAGGTGCGCGTTTGTGTCATTCGTAGGCTAATGAACTTGCCATTGCCAGCTCTGCGCCGCTTTTCGCAACTACGGTGCTGGGGCAGAGCTCAATTAACATCGCTGCAAAGCAGCGGTAATTAATTACCTCACTCCCACTCGCAGATAACATCGCTTTCGTCCCCCCCTCCCTCGAGACAGAGGCGGGCAGTAAGGAGCTGTACGCGAACAGGCCGATATCTGCCGCAAAACCTTGCCAAAACTCGAGGCATCACCCTTCAAAGTAATAATAACAGTAACAGTAATAAATGCTCGGCGGATTTTTTGCTATGGGGACACCCGGTGCCTCCGAGGCAGGGGAAGGATTGGGGCCGGGGCCGCGTGAGGATGGCAGGGCTGGGGGCTGTTGTCACCCTTAAAACAAAAGGTCTATTATGAAGCCCATAGATCAGCAGCAGTAAAAGCTTTCATAAGGCACAGATCTCTCTATGAGGTTATAACAGCAGTGTTAATCTTCTATTCAGTGTTTACAGAGCCAGCTCATCCGTGGGGTGGGTGGAAGGCAGCCAGCTCGCAAGAGAACGCTCTTTATTAAAAAATACGGACCTGTGTTGCTTTTAGCAGTGACCCCGGAGCGTGTCCCGCATTTCTGGGGGAGGGCGGCTCCCCCGGCCCCGGCCCCGCACCCTCCAGGAGGGGCAGAAGAGGTCTGGGGGGGGGGGGTGCAGCCGCCTTTAGGCGCATCTGGAGGAGCCCCTGCAGCAGAGAAAACCCATCGCAGGGTTTTGCTGGGCTTTACCCATTGGAGAGTCCTCGCCCACATCCCGGGCGATGCTGCTGCTCCGCTCCCGGAGTTCGTATTTATTCCTTTATTTGTTTGTTTGGCGTGAGAAGGGAAAACATTCTGTCCTTATCACCAAGCAGAGCCCATCGCCTCGAAGAAAAGGATGAATGGTGGAAAGTTAAGGAAAAAACGGGGGTTGCGCAAAAAGTTTCATTCCTAGATACATTCAGCTTTGTGCAAAGCGCGTTTTCGGGAGAAATTCCAGCACAGGGTTTTGTTTTTTTCTCCATCCTACTTATCCCAGCCCGTGGGAAGGGAAAACAGTTCCTCGGAAAGTGCTGCGCAAATCTCAACGAGCGCACCCGCGGAGACGCAGCCTGTCCCCCGGACTCTCCCCGGAGATGAGTTCCCATGGGGTAAAAAAAAAAACAACGCCGCAGAGAGAAAGAATCGCTGCCGGAGCCCCGCGCAAATCCCGCGCAACGCTGCGCGCACCGCCATACCCTGAGCGCACTGCGCTGCGCGGGATTTGCGCTGTGCTGCGCGCCTCCCGCCGACCTTTCGCTCCCCTCCCCGCGAAGCTCCGGGCTCGCTCGAAATTTGTTGCATTTCCTCGATTGATTGTTTAGTTAGAGATTTTGCCAACTTCCTGATGGTTCAGTTTTGTGATTCTGCGAAAAGAACCGCATTTCCTTTTTGCCTTAAGAGGGAGAGAGAGGAGGGAGAGGAGCGGAGGCTGGGGGCTGGCGGACTCATCGAGCTGTATGTACCGCACTTTTCTCTTCCTTCTCCCCATCCCGAAACCCTCCTCCTCTTCCTCTTCCTCCCTCCGAGCGCGGCTTTGCACCATCCCCGCGTTACGCAGCGCTCCTGGGACGGGGGCAGCGGCACCGCTCTGTGCTGCAGCCTCCCCACCTCTCTGCCTTCGCTTCCTTTGCCTTTGCTTTTTAATTTGGTTGTGTTTTCTTTTTCTTTTTCCCGTCCTTTCTTTCCCACTTCGCATCCTATCCTCGCAGTCCTTGCGGCAGCAATCAGGGATCCAACTACAGAAAGAAAAATAGACACGGAAATCTGTTCCACTCTCTTTCTTTTGCTTCGAGTTTTCTGTTGTTGGGCTTCTCCGACTTCATTTCTTTATCATCCCCCCTTTTTAAATTTTTTTTTCCCATTCTTCTTCCTTGAGAGTAGCAGCAGTGCTCTTTCTAGTGTTTTTCCAGCCATGCTGCCTTATGCTATTTTCTAATAGTTTATTTTTACTTTCACCATATTAGAATATGTTTAAATAGGACGAGGGGGGGGATGCGATGCTTGCAGTAAGTTTGGAACATTTTGTATAGAATATGATTCAAAACTTTTTCTCCCCTTTCTACACTGTTTTCTGCTTATCATTCTGCAACAGGTCAGGAGCTAAGGATGGCCATGGCCCTATCCCAAACCCCCGAAATCAGCGGGAGCTTTGGATCAGGCCCTACAGAAATAAATTAGAGGCAAATCCTGGGTGTGAAGGAAAATATCAGTGAGTCAGAGAGAACGGTGCTTTGTTCGGGTGTAAAGGGGAAGAGCAAAAGGCAATCTACTCTCTTAGAGCCCTACATCAGACAGGGTTTAGCTAGGAAATCTTAAATCAGCTTCAAACTAGGAGCCGGTCCTAAAAGTTGATCACACTCTATGTGTTGCACCAGTGGAAATGCAACATCAGTTGGGAAGAGTTTAAGGAGCTGAGTGGGGTCTGCTCAGTGCAAGAAGTTCCCTCTCTGCTTACAGCTTCATGCACGAAGTTCCATTCACCCACTGGTGCATGCCTGCCCATGCATATGCACTGAAAGTATTCATTCCCATGGAGTGCATGCATATAGATTTTTATAATGCCGAAAAAAAGAAAGCAAGCCAACCCAGCTGCAACATGCTGAGGACTGCTGAAGGCACGGACATATCTCTCCCCCATCTCTGTGCTCTGCTCCAGGTTTCTCCACGGGCACTCTCAGTGCTGTGTGCACATCTGGGATGCTGGGGGTGAGCCGTGGGGAAAGGAAAGCGTGTCCTGAACAGACCCCAATCAGCAGGATGTGGTGCAGCTGAGCTTATGCTCCCATTTCTCTGCAAACTAAGTCACGTCTCCATGTTTTCTGCCAACCTGAAATGGGGGATTTCTCTGATGAGAATAAATCTGAGCTACTGCCCCATAGCCACGCACCCCATAGAAAACCCCGATTCGTACATTAGGGGCCACGTGCATCTCTCTGTGAGACAGGGATGGGTCGGGACAACGCTGTTCATTTCACTTGTTGACATCTAAGCAAGGAAATCAAAATATTTGTCCAGCCTTTGCTGCAGGATTTTGTTATTCTTCCATCGAAACCATCGCTTTGTAAATCTTTTTTAAAGCTGCTAAATCTGAGCAAAGATCGCTATCAGGGAAAAGCGTGCGAGGTGCGGGCTCTCTCCATTAGGTGGCATTGCGACTTTTGCAGTGCGGGAGGGAAAAAGGCTCCGTGCACTCGGGACGGGGCAGCTCTGCTGCTGGGGCCGCGTATTTGCATTGCAATTGAAAGCGTATTTATCTTTTCAGCACTTGTTCTGTGCTCACGGTACAATTTGCTTTATCAACACACAGCGCCGTCATTTTATCGGATGGGTTTCTGTGTCACGAAAGCAAATTAATACCCCCTTGCCTTAAGCAGCGCACGCTGCTTCTACTTTACATGCAATTAGAATCACTATAAAAATAATTGGATACTAGAGAGCACTCAGAAAACATAACAAGCATAGCACGCAACAGATAATACACCGTCCTTTCCTGTTTTCCAAAAGTTCAAACATTGATACCTCAGCTCTTATCTTGAGAGGAGGCTGCACACGTTGCCAAATGGACTTAGAGGCTGGAGTATTGATGCAGTGCTCGCAGGGAGGATGGCGATGAGAAAAGGAAGAAACCCAACAGATTTTGGATGCATACGGCAGACACTGGTTTTGATCTGAGGCAGAAGATGAGAGTTTAAGCAGTAATTCAAAAGCAAGAAGAAACAGTTGTGAATATATTAAGAAAAAAATATATTTTTTTCTTATTATTCTTGAGTGAACAAATCTTGAGGAAGTGTTTTGTTTTTTTTTTTTTTTTAATAATTAATTATTATTATTATTATTATTTTTTGCAAAGGCGGGGACAGATCCGACCACAAAACAATTAGCTTAATTTAATTCACACCGGTGAAATTTCATTATCTAAATTAGAGCCAGTCCCTTATTTACAGTGAAGTTAGCAAGCGCAGAATCAATCTCAAACTGTTTGCTATTGTTTGTTTTGTGTCTTTTTCCCTCTGGCTTCTTGCTCTCATTTAATTTGAAGGGCAGACTTTGCGCTTACGCTCACTTAAGGAAAACGCTCTAAAGAGCTCAATATGCTTTTATATATCAAACCAATGTGATTTAAGGAGTTTCCCTAAGTGGTTTTCAAGCATCTGGATTTGCAGTGAAGGACTGCAGGGTGTTTTTTGTCACAGTTACAGCTGATGAGTTGTATTAGGTTTATCTAGGAAAATTATTTTATTCACGTAGGGTTTGAAGTTTTCTTGTTCAGCAAAGCGGTTTTCACTTTTGCCTTTTTCACGGTGCCACAATTTCATCTAATTAATGATCGGAGCAGATTTTGACAGATTTTTTGATATTTCTTATGATAACCAATGCTGCTTGCTTGTGCTCCTCTTGCAAGGATATATTGTGACTATTCTGACAGCTACAGCTTTCAAAGGCTTTTCTAATTAAAAGTGTGCACTTAACGCTTTCTTTTTAACACTGAGAGTCAATGAAGGCATGCAGAAGTCATCATACCAACACCTTAGATGAGCTCTGTTGAGCGTTTATGTTCCAGACACATTTTAAAATATAACCTTGAGATACTTTTCCTCTACACTTCCGCGAGAACACGTAGAGATGAATTAATCCCAACATCTCCATCACCAAAGAGAAATGGCTTTGGTTCTGCAGAGCCCAACGGGAGCCCTCTCATCCCCTTTTGAGCCGATTGAGCGTGCTGATGACCGAGACTTTGTTTGCTTAAAGGCCATTTTTTTCCCCTTGCAAATTCCAGGGGAGACCGTATTGTTGCATGCCTCATTCCAACGTATCGTGCTGTGTTTTCTCCGCGGCTGCAGAAATGCAAATCTTTTCTCTCCCCCCCCCCCCCCCCCCCCCGCCCCGTATCAATCTGCAGCTGCACCCAGGAGGGCTGCAACCAAAGAGGGGAGCGACAGTCAGCGAAAGCAAAACAAACAGAGCCGGAGCAAAGTGTGGTTTTCAAAAGGAGAACCTAAAGCCTTAGCAGCAGCTAATTCTCTAACCCTGAGCCTATTAGCACGTTCTGCACAAAGGCACAGTCACATTACACAGGGCTGATAACGCCAGATTTCATGTTTTGTGTGAATTGTTTTTTGTCTTTTTCTTTTCCCTTCTCTTAAGATGCATTTTCTCGCTATTTTTTTTTATTTATTCTCCCCCTTCTTTACATATTTTTTTTTTTCCATAAATAATCTCTGTCGTTCATCGCAAGGACACCTCTGGCAAACTGGAACTTTTGCCTTGCTCTAATAATGCAATCATCGTCCCAAACTGAGACAAAGCAGGGCTTCATTTTGGGTGCAAAGGGATATGATAATGAGGGAGAAATCAGAGAACAGATCTCAAACTGGGAGAAATGGGTGAATTTCCATGAAAAATCAATGAGAAGCTGGAGAGAGATTTTTTTTTCCCCTTGGGTGGAAGAAAATATCAAAGCCAACAGCTGTATGGCTTGCCCCTGGTCAGTGGAAATTTCAACAGGCATTACCTGTTCCTAACCACTAACAGTACACAAATGTGGGGGGAATGGCACCCAAACACAATTTCCCTTTCATACAGTGAAGTCAGGTAGTAGAAACAGAAATCTATTTTCTGTGATGCCCACCCCTTGTAGGAAACCACCTACAGAAAGAGTTAAAGTGTTGACACCCGTTAGAGCATTTTCATGGCACTGGTTTGGATTGCAGCTGGGAAGTCGAACAGAGCAAACAAACAAACAAAAAGGGGACTGCAGGCTTCCAGGGGTCAGGTTACCGTGTTTGCCTATTCAAGCATCCTCTCTCCCAGTCATTTTTAAAGGCGTTTTTGGGTCCTCACTCCACATACGGTGCGGTTGGAGACTTTGTAGTGAGAGAATGGAGCGTGCGCCGTGTTTGGGGGAGGAAAAGATGGTGGGATGAGGCTTGGGAGATTCCAGCTGTGGTCTTGGGCAGTGATGCAAGCCTAAATCACTGCTTCAAAACCCCTGTGAAAATTCTGCGTGCCTTTTCTAGTGAAAATATAGCACTGATAATAATAATAAAAGAATCAAAAACTTAGAAGGCCCAAACTCCACTATAAGCCAATGTAATAAAAATTATACTGTATTAATAGCCACACAGGCTGGGTTTAATAACATGAAAATGGCAGCTCTGCATTCTTGCATTAGTTGTATAGGAATAGAAATAGATTCCCTTGCACAATCCTATAGAAATACACATTTCTGAATCATAATAGAATGGCCTGGGTTGAAAAGGATCACAGTGATCATCTAATTTCAATCCCCCTGCTATGTGCAGGTCACCAACCAGCAGAGCAGGCTGCCCAGTGCCACATCCAGCCTGGCCTTGAATGCCTTCAGGGATGGGGCATCCACAGCCTCCCTAGGCAACATCTATTCTGCCTCTATTTAGGCTCTCAATAGGCTGGGGCAATGGGGGGGGCTGCCTTTCCTAATACTTCTTGTCCCTTTTAATATTTTTGCCAT